ACTGATGGAGTATACAGCTGCCTATAGGAGGATTTAAACACGGACCCACCAGAAAACAGTGACCAAACGCCTCAAACTCCCAGCATGCCTTAGTTTAATGGAAACAGATGGGTGGGACCTGCATCCCTTAATAAAATCCAACTAACTGATTTTACAGTAGGGGGGAAAAAAAATGCAAATTTCTTTGTTTTTCGTTGAATGACGAAGTTATTCAGAGACTGCTGGTACATCCAAAAGCAATCATACTGGGGGGTGGGCAACAGATACAAAACATTAATAGGCCCACAAAAAGTCATCAGAATGGGGGATGGCTTGCAGCTCAATAAACTACCTAAGGAGAGCACAAGGGGCAGTATGCTGATGACTCAAGAAGTGGAAGATAGTTCAAATGGCATAGCCACTAACGAAGTGCTAGGGATCCACAGGAAATGGAAGGAACCACTGAAGCATTGGAAAAAATTGGGATGCGCAAGTGTACTGTCACGGTCAGGGGTCAGGCTCGGAGACAGTAGCTATAGCAGTGGAAAGTTTCACACAAAAACCAACAGAAGAAAGAATAGTTGGTGAACCCGCTAAAGACTGGTAACAAGTGGTTGCAAGTTAAGATCAAATGGAAAAGCAGTCGAGGAACAAGCAAAAGGCCAGTAACGAGTGGTAGTGAAGATACAGACGGCAGCAGGAGTGCCAAGAGCAAGATAATGGCTAGAGAAAAGCAAAATAATCTAACAAACAGGAACTGCAAAGACATGGTTTAAAGTGTTACTAAACCCACAACAGTCAAATCAATCTGTATATACAGTAAAACATTCTTGTTATACTCACTGTGGAACCTAAAGAGTTAATCCGCTGCATTGTTTTAAAAAGGCTGCTTAATCCTGTCCTCTCTGGTCCCCCCCTTCTACTTTCCCCAACCCATCTGCTGGGAGAACAGAGCCTTGGGAGAAAGCTGCACATGCTCAGTTTGGTGTGTATTGCTAGAGTGTTTTTTTTCTTGGAAGAGTGCATGTGATCATCACAGTGCAAATCAGCACTGTCCAGATGGGTTATGCAGCCTCATAGGACAGTCAAAGGAGATTAAAAACTCCTCTTACAAGCTTTAACCAGTGCTCAGCTGGACACTAAGAGAAGTCACAAGCATTCTCTAACTGCGGATGAGAAAAGCTATTTAGCAGTTTATAATTTACTATAATAATTGTGGGAGACCAGATATATTTAATGCACGGTCCTGGACTTAGTAACACTTTAAAAAGGAAGTTCAAGGGACAAGAAAGAAGTTCTAGGTTCACCAGAAACATGATAAAAAGTAAGATTGCTTAAGGCATCAGGCAGGGAGCTGTCCAGCGTCCACATTCTGATATTAACATTCCTTGATGTCCACAGAAGCCAGAAAGTCTCCATGAAGAAAAAGAAAGGCTATGACAGACTTGTTGGATTCTATGCAGAATTTCTGGGCCCAAATTAAAACCTTGGGCCTTAAGATCCAAAAAAGGGGCAGGATGGCCTATTTTAGTTTTGGAACGAAATCCCTGGAACTGTTCTGCCACAGTTACTGTGGTAATAACTTTTTGTTTCAAAAGACCCACATAGGCTGAATGGAGATCTTATAATTTTTATGGGTGACAAGCAGGTTTGAAAACCTGAACAGAGGAAAGGGCTAAGAAAGCCATTCCATCTTGTAGCCCCTGAAAACCACTTCTCTCCCCCAAGCATCCAATACACTGGTTTATCAAATATCTGCATAGGCTAACAGATGTCCCCCCACTTTGGAATGTGGGGCACACCCCTTCATGTTGGGGTAGAATTAGCCAAGGGCTGAGGCGTCCTTAGAAGTCAAGGGTTTGCTGGCAAACTGATTGCCAGGCATGGCTTCGGATATTGAAGCTTGGAAGAAAGAAAAAAAAAAAAAAAAAAAAAAAAACACAGGGCCTGCCTCGGCCCCTGAAGAGGTGATAAGCCTTCCTGAGCTGAGCCCTAAGCTTTTTTTCAGGGCAGTTCGGTATTCTTGCCCTTGGTGACATCTTTGATTAGGGTGTCCACGGCAGTTCTGAGGAGGCACCATCCCTCCTAAGGCATGCAAAGCAAACACTTTTTTACTTCTTCTGCAGTCCAGCATTTGAGCCAAAAAGTTCTCCATATGTTCAGTGACAGGAGGTTATTTCTAGTAACAAAAAAAAAAAAAAAGTGAAAGCAGGCTTATAGTCTTATTATAGTTAGAATCTATAATTAAAAGTTCCAATTCGGCCCATAAAATCCTGCATGACAGTGATATTCTCACAGAATAAAGCAGTGGAGGTGCAAAGTCCAAGAGAGCTGAGGAAAACTACAATCATGGCATAGATGCAAGCAGAGTGCAAAATTCTAGGTTGCCAGTGTCAGGTATTTCAGGAAGTACACTGCGACAGCACCGGAACTGTTAGTGGATCATGAGCTGGAGGTACCTGGGGCAGTGGGACTGCTTCCCATGTATCTGGGATCTAACAAGTTTAACTGTAAGGCGGGGGGTAACAGCGCAGGGTAAAAAGCCAGGTCTTTTATACTCACAAACTAGTTGCTGATAGAAGGAAGGGTTTAGGTTGTCAGATGTGATGAAGTCTGCAAGTAGCAGAGACAAACTAAGGACAAATCCACATGTCACTCACAGTCAGGAGCAGCAGCTGAATGACAGGAAAGAAATCAGAGCATACGCAACACTCCACTGAGCAGATGACCAGCAGCACTTCGTTCCTCAGCATTGACCCTTTCCAGGGTTAACTGGTGAAAAGCAGAGATCTGTAAATGCCACACCAACAGGTGCTGGACCAATCAATACAGCTTACTCACAAAGCAAAAGTCTTCAAAGACAAAAAGTCACATGTAGGGCTGAGCCATGGCTCTGGACATGGAAAGTGCTCTAAAGCATAGGACCTCAGTACAGTAAGGTCTGAAAAGCACAATGTCCAATTGCCCAGTGCCCAAAAGTCACATTCCAGGCTAGCCCCATAACACAGCACAGTCTGGATACTGTCTCCAAAACTAGTGCAGAGGGCTGCAAATTCCAATAGCTACATACAGTGCCTTGAAAAACTATTCATACCCCTTGAAATTTTCCACATTTTGTCATGTTACAACCAAAAACATAAATGTATTATATTGGGATTTTATGTGATAGACAAACACAAAGTGGCACATAATTGTGAAGCGGAAGCAAAATGATAAATGGTTTTCAAAGTTTTGTACAAATAAAAATCTGAAAAAAGTGTGGCGTGCATTTGTATTCAGCCCCCTTTACTCTGATACCCCTAACTAAAATCTAGTGGAACCAATTGCCTTCAGAAGTCACCTAATTAGTAAATAGATTCTACCTGTGTGTAATTTAATCTCAGTATAAAATACAGCTGTTCTGTGAAGCCCTCAGAGGTTTGCTAGAGAACATTAGTAAACAAACAGCATCATGAAGGCCAAGGAATCTCATGGAGCAATGTTTAATCCATCATCTGAAAATGGAAAGAGTATGGCACAACTGCATACATACCAAGTCATGGCCGTCCACCTAAATTGACAGGCTGGGCAAAGAAAGCATTAAATCAGAAAAGCAGGCAAGAGGTCCACGTTAACGCTGGTGGAGCTTCAGAGATTCACAGCTCAAGTGGGAGAATCTGTCTACGGGACAACTATTAGTCTTGCTATCCACAAATCTGGCCTTTATGGAAGAGTGGCAAGAAAAAAAAAAAAGCCATTGTTGAAAGAAAGCCATAAGAAGTCCCGTTTGCGAGAAGCCATGCGGAGGACACAGCAAACATATGGATGAAGGTGCTCTGGATACACCAAAATTGCATTTTTTTTTGCCTAAAAGCAAAACGCTATTTGTGGCAGAAAACTAACACTGCAGATCACCCTGAACACTACATCCCCACCGTGAAACATGGTGGTGGTATCATCATGCTGTAGGGATGCTTTTCTTCAGCAGGGACAAAAAAGCTGGTCAGAGTTGATGGGAAGAAGGATGAAGCCAAATACAGAGCAATCTTAGAAGAAAACCTGTTCGAGTCTACAAAAGATTTGAGACTGTGGCAGACGTTTACCTTCCAGCAGGATAATGACCCTAAACATACAGCCAGAGCTACAATGGAATGGTTTAGATCAAAGCATATTCATGTGTTAGAATGGTCCAGTCCAGACCTAAATCCAAATAAGAATCTGTGACAAGACTTGAAAATTACTGTTCACAGATGCTCCAACCAATCTGACAGAGCTTGAGCTATTTTGCAAAGAAGAATGGGCAAAAATGTCACTCTCTAGATGTGCAAAGCTGGTAGAGACATCCCCAAAAAGACTTGCAGCTGTAATAGCAGTGAAAGGTGGTTCTAAAAGTATTGACTCAGAGGAGCTGAATGTAAATGCACGTTACACTTTTCACAGATTTATTTTTAAAACATTTTGAAACATGCTCTGCTCTGTGTCCCCTACACAGCACACTCTGTGCCCACCAATCCCTGTTAGTGTAGGCAGCGCCTGCAGGCTGTGGAGGGGACATGGAGTGGAGGACATTGCAGCCACTCACAGCAAGAGGATCCAGTGACAGGCTGGAGAGCAGGGAGTCTGGTAAACATGTCTCTTAGGCTATTTTCACACTGCTCTGTATGAAAAATGCACATGCATTTTTGCCATGGTTTTCCGGTGCTGCATTTTCCCCTCATCACTTCCCACTATTCTAATGCGATTTTCAGTGCAACTATTGATGCAACTTCAATGTGACATCTTGCTGCCTAAAGGTTAGGCTCACACTGAAGTGGTTTTGATCCTTCCTTCAATTGATCAATCCTTCCTTTGATTGAAACAAGGAAGGGTCGATCGATCAAAGGAAGGGCCAAACATAGCCGATCTGGTATTTGTTAGGCTCTGTGACCAGAGGGAGGATCCCGTGAAGGCGTGGAGGGATTTCCCATCCCACTGAGAGACTCAAACGACAAGCTCACAAATAGGAAAGGTAAACATAGTTACACTGAGCAGAAATATATTACCTTTATACTGTTTAATCCAGATGGTCCTAAAAGAACTCCACAAATGATATAACCAAACATAGTTGGAAGCCCTATCATTGTACACAACCATCCACAAGGAAGAGATAGCATCACTATGGTAACAATATCCTACAAAACAATATATGTATGAATTAGAGAAAATTACTGTAATATACAGGTTACACAAATGTTTTAGATACATAAATTACAGAACTAAATAACAGATCATGAATTAGAGAGAATTACTGTAATACACGTTACACAAAAACTTTTTAGATATAATTACAGCACTAATAACAGATCATTTACTTAACGTGTGAATTACAAAGAAAGGATAGTGAATGATTATGCACACAGTATGTACAGAATGATGTTATGTAGAATATGGTCTGTAGGTTTACATGCCTATGAAGCTATATTTATTTACATGCCTATAGAGCTAGCATCCTTTGTGCCTAGGACACAGGCAACTTGTGATGCTCAATGTCCTTGTTTGCCAGGATGCCAGTGGCATATGCTGCCCAGTGTCCTTGATTTCTAGGATGCAGGTGGCATGTGCCACCTAATGCCTTGGTTTCTAGGACAAAGGTGGCTCTTGCCTCCTAATGATCTTGGTTGCTACCACACAGGCAGCCATTCATGGCTGACATGTACACATTAGTGTGTAATCAGTGGCGCAAGTGCTTCAGATTATGCATTCTTCATATTTATGTGGTAGCCCTGAGCAGCAGTGGCCAAAAGAGGACATTTTCTCAGGATGCCTGTAAACATTAGCACAACGTTTACAGGCGTATAGCATAAAATACGGTCCATGCACTACACCATGGATACAGATTTTTCTATTTTTATTTTAGCAGCTGAATGCGGCTCCAGATTACAGTGCTGTGAGCAGTTTTGTGCATGGGCCTATGTTCATATTCGCAACAAAATGCATTATGGATCTGAGCGCAGCATATTTTAAACGTGTGTACAGGAGCCCTAAATGTGTATGTAGCCAAAAGATTTTTAAATCTTAGGTAGAGAAGGGATTCATTAAATACCCCTGTCCAATTTTTTTTTGATGTTTGTGTGTTAAAACCTTCTGTGTTTCTTTTATCTCAACACAGTGAGCACAATAAAATAAACAAACATTCACTAGTAAACTATTTGTTAAAAATCTTACTCCAGCAATAGCAGTTTATAATTTTGCTCTCTCATAGCTGTTTCTTTGAGTTAACAGTGGCCAGTGCGGTCTCCAGTCAGTCTGTTAGTTTGTAAAAAGTTGGGGGGGGCCAGAGGCACTCTGATGCTCTGGGATGGTGGTTTGGCAACCTGGGATCTGGACTTGCCGACCCACCATCCCAGAGCATGAGGTTGCAGCCACATCAGAGGTCTCCGTGGGCCAAATGTGACCTGCAAGCCATGGGTTGAACACCCCTGTTGCAGTTAGTTCATGCACAGGAAACTGTGAATAAATGATGCAGCCATGCAGGGCTCCTTCGCGGTTTTCAAATTGTGATAGCAGGTGCAGGGAGAAGATCCCTCGCTCGCTGTCACAGAGAGTGGAGTGCTGGCGGTGGGAGTGGGTGCATAGGAACATGTTACACCCTAAACATCAGTGTAACATGCTCCTAAAAGTGAACTTATGCTTTAACCCAACACATACTAACACAAGATAATAGAACAGTAAAGGGTCCTAAAGGGATTCTACTAAATTACTTGTCATGTTGACCCTGAAACGTGCTGGTGCATATTCTCAAGGGATTTTTAACACCAAGCATTTCCAAAAGGAAGCAATGCGGTGCACTGACAATGCATTGTACCTTCCGGAGGCATTGGATGCGGAGGCCAAGGTGAAATTTTTTCACGGCTTCATTTTCGATCAGCATCTTACAGCTATTAGTATTTGGGAGTGTAAGTCCATACATAAAATGGATCTTTAATTTTTATTGAAGATTCACTTTAATTCAGGTACATAGCTAAATAAATGTAACTGAGCAATCTGTTTTAAAAAGAACCATGTGAACCGCTTTAGTAAAGTGGATAAGCTTATTCCTAAATAAAAACAGAGAAAGAATTACCTTGATAAAGTGATGGTCAGCGCGGGGTATAGTGGAATCTCTGGGCTTGGTCAATATGTACTGGTTATTTTGAGAGTCAATAAGCATACTAAGTCCCAAATCATCCTCTACTTGGCGTTGAGATGTATTCCTTTTCACTTCATCTTCTTCCACTCGCAAGACTGCTTCCACATTTACACCACGTATCTGTCACAATTCAAAAAGGTAATAATATTCTGTGTTAACATGGAAAAATAGGATTTTTGTACTCAGCATAAAATCATTCTCTTGGAGTTCGTTGACAGACACAGGAAGTCTTAAAGAATTAAGTCACCTTCATAGAAAAAAAAAAAAAAAAAAAAAAAAAGGGGCAAGGTGAACACCATACACCCTCGCCACTTCCCCCGGTCCCCACTGTACTTACCTCTGGGGTTGCTGAGCCGTCTGTGATTTGAAATGACAGTTCTTCCCCCTCTTCTCTATGCAGCACTCCTGGGATGGTGCAGATCAATTCGCTGTGAGAGTGCTGACCAAATTTCAAATCTCCAGACCCGTATAGCGGGACTAGGTAGCTGCCAAGGGTGTCCGATGTTTACATTTCTATTTTTTTCAGTAAAGATGAACACTTTAAACCTTTGGGTTCTAGTGCCACCTGCATTAGGATTAGACATTGGCAAACCAAAAATTGGTAGGCTAGCCAAAGATAACCAACTTACTACAAGCATGCCTCAAGTTTTGTAGAAAATCAGTATTGAGGGAACGAGCATGAAACACAGAGGGGTGTGACCTGTGTTCCTCAAAAGACACCAAGAAAAAGGATTTTATGGGCAGTATGAGAATCCAATTATCTTTCTCATCCATTGAGGAGCACAGGAAGTCCTAAACCTAACATAAAAAAAGAAAACTGGGGACTGCTAGCAGCTCAAAGAGCCATCTGAAGGATCATACACCTGTTGCTGGCCTCAGATGAGGCTGAAACACCTATCTGGTGACTTGAAAAGCGTTTGAACACAAGACCAGACAGCAGCCTTGCAAATCTAGTAAACAGCTGCTTGGTGCCAAAAAGTCCAAGAAGCACTCACATATCTAATGGGAAAGGATAGAACCTGTGCCTTGAGATCATAAGCTTGTATGATAGTCTGCCTGAGCCACATAGAGATGGTAAAACAAAAAGCTGGAGCATCTCTACAGGGCTCCTCAGGAATTAAAAAAAGGGAATCCGTGTTTTTGAAAGAAGCACTGGTTGAGATATAGACCCTCAGCTGGAACCACATACAGACAGACAATGGACAGAAATTTCCTTTTGGTGAATTGGAACCAGAGGGAAAAAAAGAAAACAAATTTCCCGATTGACGTAAAAAAGGCAGAAAAAAAAAAAAGTAGAAAACGCCTGGGGTGGAAGTCCCGAGACTTAAAGCACGGGAAATAAGCCCTTCGTGTCTGATGACATATCCAGTAGATTTCCTAGTTTTAACATTGTAGAAATCACAGACTCCGACAAGACGTCTCTCAACACCCGGACCTTCCACAGAGGGGGACTGCTGGCCGGGAAGGTCTGCTCGTCAATGTCTACCACTAAAATGTACATGGTTGGCAATGCTGGAAACATGAAGTTCTGCCAGGGACATATTAAAATCTACCTCTCATCATGAAGAGACCTCCAATTCCTTGCTGTAGAGACCAGCCTGAAAGACTGGCATCTATTGTGTGATCCTTTAAAAGATGGGAAGAAAGAGCTTAACTGACTCTAGAGCTAAATTCCTCAGCTTTCAGGCCAGGAAAAACCAGGTCCTTAATGATAGATGGATCAGTCCACTTGGACACCAGAGTGACTTGTTCCATAGAATGTAGCATTGTAAAAGTCTGGAGTTAGACTGGCAAGTGGGACAGCCTTGAAAGAGGCTACCATTAGACATAGGACTCCTCATGCAAAAGGTGGATAGTCGGTGCAAAGGAACACTTTGGCCTGAGATGTGTCCAGGGCTAAACCTAGATGCTTCCTAACCAACATAATGTCTGGATGATCTAAAAGGTAAAAAAAAGTATATCAATGTCTGATCGTACCACCCATCACTTTTTGAGAGACAGTGAGGTAGAAGACTCACAAGAACAAGATTCCACTATTGAAAGAAAAACATGCAAACACCACACTGAAATATGGTAACAGCATATTGCCAAGCCACAATGTGGCTGGGAGAATTTCCATTGGACAGATGAAACAAAAATTGAGTTTTTGGCAAGCCATCTAAGAATCAATTAACAGTGATTGCATTTAAAACTAGTGTCACATGATCTATTTGCAAAATTATCACATGCAAAAAGTGGAGAGTGGACAGGGAGCAAGCTTGAGGGGTCTTGACGTGTAGATTGATGGGAGTGGAGAAACAAAAACTGACATTTCTTAATAAACAGGGAGAAGCCTTAACAGTTTGTTCCTTAGGCTTCTTCTGCTCAGGACAATCTGCACTCATTGCCACTAGAGCTCTGCAGTCCATATTCAAGCAATAGTTATATAATAGATATGGGCTGAAATTTGTCAGGTTTAATTTGAGGGTACATACAAATTGGATGAAGGGTTTAGGAATTACAGCTCTTATGAGCAGCCACCCCCCCTTTTTCAAGGGACCAAAGTAATTGGACAGTTGAATATAATCATAAATAAAATGTAAATTGTTTAATATTTTGTTGAGAATCCTTTACTGGCAATGACTGCCTGAAGTCTGGAACACATGGACATTACCAAAAGACTGAGTTTCATCCTTTCTGATGTTTTGCCAGGCTCTAACTGCAGCTGTCTTCAGTTGTTCTTTGTTTGTGGGTCTTTCTGCCTTTGGTTTTGCCTTTAGCAAGTGAAATGCATGCTCAACGGAGTTGTGATCAAGTGATTGACTCGGCTATTGCAGAATATTCAAATTCTTTTCCTTCAAAAGCTCCTGGGTTGCTTTTTCAGTGTGTTTTGGATCATTGTCCATCTGTACTGTGAAGTACTGTCCAATCAACTTTGCGGCATTTAGCTGAATCTGGGCTGACAATATATCTCTAAACACTGCAGAATTCATCTGGCTGCTTCTGTCACATCATCAATAAACACCAATGACCCAGTGCCACTGGAAACCATGCACGCCCATGCCATCATACTGCCTCCACCATGTTTTACAGATGATGTTGTGTGCTTTGGATCATGAGCTGTTCCAAGCCCTCTCCACACTTTTTTCTTCCCGCCATTTTGGTATAGATTAATCTTAGTTTCATCCATCCAAAGAATGCTTTTCCAGAACTGGTCTGGCTTTTTAGATGTTTTTTGGCAAAGTCTAATCTGGCTTTTCTATTCTTCAGGCTTATGTATGGTTTGCACCTTGTGGTGAACCCTCTGTAATTGCTCTCGTGAAGTCTTCTCTTGATTGTAGACTTTGATAATGATACGCCCACGTCCTGGAGAGTGTCCCTTACTTGTCTGGATGTTGTGAATGTTTTTTCTTTACCATAGAGAGAATCCTGCGATCATCCACCACTCTTGTCTTCCGTGGACATCCATAATTTTTAATTTTGCTGAGCTCACCAGTGAGTTTTTTTCCTCAGAATGTACCAAACTGTTGATTTGGCCACTCCTAATGTTGCTGCTATCTCTGATAGATTTGTTTAGTTTTTGAATCCTTACAATGGCTTGTTTCACTTGCATGGACAGTTCCTTTGAACGCATGATGTAGGTTCACAGCAATAGATTCCAAATGCAAATACCACACTTAGAATCAACTCCAGGCCTTTTATCTGCTTAATAGAAGAAATATACGAAGGAGTAGCCCACACCTGGCCATGAAACACCTTTTGAATTCAACTGTCCAATTACTTTTGGTCCCTTGAAAAAGGGGGGATGGCTATTCTTAAGAACTGTAATTCCTAAACCCTTCCTTCAGTTTGGATTTACATACCCTCCAATTAAACCTTAGAGTGTGCACTTTCAGCCCATATCCATAATATAACTATAGCTTGAATATATTTTGGTAAATACCTGAAAAATCTAAAATTGTGCCTGTGTCCAAATATATATGGACCTAACTAACTAGAGACATGCAGGAAATGAGATGGGAGTCTTCTAGAACATTGCTGCAACAGAAATGTAACACAACCGCCATCTGCTTCATGTGTTCTTCAAGCAAGGGATCAATTTAAGTACCGGTTACATCATTTAAAGAATTTGACCAATCAGACATGGTAAGCTCACAGCAATCAGATGGAGGGTAGGGCCCACCAGCTACAACAGAAGTCCTGAATACTACCCTATTATCAAGTTGGCGCCCTAAGACAGGCACATCCTTTACTGGAATAGTACATGTCCATTAAGACAGGACAATGCTGGATCCACAGTGGAAATTGACCACTTCTGCACAACATCCTCACTAAATGGATACTAATAACGGATTAGTTGGAGAAAGCTAGTCAGAATGTTTCTAATCTCCAGAAAAGCGGTTGAATGGGGAGGTTTTGCAATCTTAGAAATTTTGAAATGACTCAAGGCTGGAAACAACACTGGTAGGCAGGCAGGGTTGATCCTCTAGTTTCAGAATGGTGCATCTTGCATCAATAAAATGACAGTTCCCTTTCATTTAGGAGTAATAGCAGTACATCAATACTTTTCAGGCTCAAGCTCATCAAACAAAGCCTGGAGTAATTTAGAATTAGTCTAAGAAGCGATGGGTCGGAAGCTGCTAAGGGTGTGGAAAAATCAAATACAGAACCTGCAGTAAAAAGGCGTGGGAGTGTGCTTGTGGTCTCTGCTATCAGAGTCAGCAAATAACTGGATAACTTGGTCAAACTCTTGCATGACAGCGGTAAAAACCTCACCTGAAAGCCTCACCCAACAGAGCCAAAGAGGACTTCATCCAACAGAGGCAAAGACTTTGAGGACTAAGCTCAACATATTTCCAGGCTACAGATGATGGCACCACTGCAAGCAGCCCTAGAATGGTTAGTAGAATGTGAGCTAAAGGCACCTGGTACAGTGGGACTGCCCTTACCGTGTCTAGAATCAGACAAGTTGCAACAACATGACAGTAAGGCAATGTAAAGTCTCAGAGCAAGAGGCAAAAAAAAAAAAACGGACAGCTGGTAGCAGGTTAGGGTCAGATGTCAGGAGGTGACCAAAGTCACTGCAGGCAGGCAGTAGGAATGGATCAGCGACATTCCATGTAGTTTTTTTGCTTGCAGCA